ACATTGACTTTATGTGTTATTGGAGATATATGGTAGGGAAAGAATAAAAACATTAGTTCCAGCCTGGTCATCTTACTTAGCAAGAACATCGGTGAAGATTAAAAGAACCTTTAAATTTTTTTTAAAAAAGCTCAATTAATATTTTTCATTATTTTTTAAAACTTATATTTTTAAAGAAATTACTATTTAAATATTTTTTTAAAAAACTACTAATTTGTTTAGTAATTACTTGCTTTGATAACAAATCTTAAAGTTTAAACTTAATTCAAATTCTCCGATGAGTTATTCTCATATTAATGAATTATAAATCTTTTATTTGAAATTTTTTGAAACTTTCTTTACTTGAGTCATATTTTAGACAAGAATGTTCTCTTTTATATTCAATTGGTTTTTCTATTTTAAATCTTTTGAAATTTAAAGTTGTCTTAATCTTCCTAAAATATTAAGTGGCGATTCTTTTCCCAAATAAAAATAAATAAAATACTCTCCAAACTTAAAAGACATCTATTTAATATTTTAATAGAAAGAAGATGTTTTTATTCTTATATTTATATAAATCTGATTTAGTTCAAGATGATGTTTCCTTGAGTGATTGAAAGAACAATTTTTCTTAGATTATTAATTGGCGAACTTATATGTTCAATGTCGTATTTTACCCATGATCAACTTAAGTTACAAAATAATTTCACATATATTCATGTGTTTTTGTCACGACCCAAATCGGGTCGCGACTGGCACCCACACTTACCCTCCTATGTGAGCGAACCAACCAATCTAAACCTAACATTTCAATATAATATCAACAGAAAGTAATGCGGAAGACTTAAACTCATTAATAAAATCAATAACTATTAAAACTCAAACATTTATTATTATCCCCAAAATCTGGAAGTCATCATCACAAGAACATCTATCCTCAAATTACTAAAGCTAAGAGTATCTAAGAAGCTAAAATACATAAAAAGCTAGTCCATGCCGGAACTTCAAGGCATCAAGACATGAAGAGGAAGATCCAGTCCAAGCTAGAAGCATTAGCTCACCCTGAATTCCGGAGTGATGAAGACTGGCTAGAGTTGCGGTTGAGTTGAAGACGATGGCGCGTTTGCTGCACTCCACAAATAACAAAGAAGAAAACATAAAAGTAGGGGGGTCAGTACAAACACAAGTACTGAGTAGGTATCATCGGCCAACTCAAAATAGAAAACAGTATATATTAGATAACATCATAAAATCAACTAATATCCTTAGCATGCAACATTTACAATTACCATAACCCTTGGTTACAACACCAAGCTCATCAATGAGGACTCACGCCTCCTCATCATACTCATTTGGATTAGGTTCATTAGTTTGAA